ATTTTGTGTGGAGGCTATATATACCCCTCCACCTCCTCTTCATTCGTGGAGAGAGCCATGAGAACAAACCTACACTTCCAACTTGCTGTTTCTGAGAGAGAACCACCTACTCATGTGTTGAGGCCAAGATATTCCATTCCTACCATATGAATCTTGATCTCTAGCCTTCCCCAAGTTGCTTTCCACCCAAATCTTCTTTCCACCAAATCCAAATCCTATGAGAGAGAGAGTTGAGTGTTGGGGAGACTATCATTTGAAGCACAAGAGCAAGGACTTCATCATCAACACACCATTTGTTACTTCTTGGAGAGTGGTGTCTCCTAGATTGGCTAGGTGTCACTTGGGAGCCTCCGACAAGAATGTGGAGTTGAACCAAGGAGTTTGTAAGGGCAAGAAGATCGCCTACTTCGTGAAGATCTACCGCTAGTGAGGTAAGTCCTTCGTGGGCGACGGCCATGGTGGGATAGACAAGGTTGCTTCTTCGTGGACCCTTCGTGGGTGGAGCCCTCCGTGGACTCGCGCAACTGTTATCCTTCGTGGGTTGAAGTCTCCATCAACGTGGATGTACGATAGCACCACCTATCGGAACCACGACAAAAACATCCGTGTCTCCAATTGCGTTTGAATCCTCCAAACCCTTCCCTTTACATTCTTGCAAGTTGCATGCTTTACTTTCCGCTGCTCATATACTCTTTGCATGCTTGCTTGAATTGTGTTAAGATTGCTTGCCTTATGCTAAGATAGCTAAAATCTGCCAAAGACTAAAATTGGGAAAAGGATAAGTTCTTATTTGGTCAAGTAGTCTAATCACCCCCCTCTAGACATACTTTCGATCCTACAGTGAATTTTCAGGACATTCCGAGAACTGTTTTTTTCTACACATAAAACAACATCATGGCAGTTCTGCTGAAAACAACGTCAGTCCGGGTTAGTTTCACTCAAATCATGCAAGTTAGAGTCCAAAACAAGGGCAAAAGTGTTTGGAAAAGTGGATACGTTGGAGACGTATCACACACTTGTTGAATTATCGTGGATACAAGCATCAAACACTTGTCGAATTATTTCAAAGGTGTTTTGCCATCGAAGGCGAAGACTAGATGTTCTGCTCTTGTGTTTGAACAATATGTAGTTGGCAGCAAGTTTTTTCTTAACAGTGTTTAGTAAACTTGCCCATGTTGTATATAAAATACATATGTTTCCATTAAAGTTACTTCTATTTTTTTTTTGTAAGAATACATCGGCTCATGGTCACTGAATAAACCCATGTTGACTATTGTCGGGGGAGGTGAAGGTGTCGTCATATTGACATCCATAAAAATGAGATCAGAGAACAAGAAAAGAGTTTGTCTTGGTGTTGATGCTTGCCTGAATTGTATTATGGTGCATGCATTCTGTCCTAACATGATTTGACTGTAAATCTTTGTCATTACTTCAGGTGTGAATTGAGCATACATGATTTGCTTGACAATAACAATTGACTGGCAAGTTTGGATTATATCTAACTAGAAGGACATGGACACCTCTCTATAGATAGGTTTTGATTTTTTTTTTCCTAGCTAGAAAGGATGCCAACACAAGTGCTCACGATGATAAATATGTTAACCTACATTTTGAGTGAAGTTACATGGATTATTTTGGGTAGATTAGTGGACCTCTCAATTTATTTTTTTACATTACTAGATAATTGCCCTACTTTGCAACAGGACCATGAACATTTTGTACACTCACTAATTTTTTGTGATTGTGTTTAAATATATTCTTGCTAATTAGGATTGGATTAAAGGAATGACATTTCTGCAGAGCAGTTGTTCCCCTACTCCATAGATCTGTGGCATTCAACGGAGTTGGTTGAAACGATGGCGTCAAAACATACAGAAGGTTATGGAAAGTAGGATTTAGAAAAAAATAATCTTATTACAATGAAAGGGTAAACAGTGGATGTACATGAGTACTTAAATGTGTTCTTCAAGATTCATAGAAATAAGAAGGCTACTTATTGTTTGAAATAAGAATGCAATAGGTTTTATGTGAAAAATGAACCTTATCAACACAACAATTCATTTGAAATATTTCTTTACTACTACCATCAGATTATCCTTTCACATACACAAGTGGATTTTCATATATGGTTGTAAGATTAGTCGAGACGTGCATTGCACGTGCACGCTTACTAGTTATAAAGCAAACATCCGATACATCCAGCTTGCTGGGCCGCAGTACAGAAAAGCCCAAAAGCGAAAACAAAAAAAAGGAAAAATAAATGCCGACACCGGCAGATCAACGAAGAAAGGAAGACTGGCAACCGCTGCACCCTCCGAAGAGATACCACCACGCTTCCAGCATCCCGAAGCGCCGCGCACCAAGCAACACCTTCAAGAAGGAATGCGACAATGCCGCCGTTGTTGCCCAAACAAGTTCTAGGGTTTCCCCGATACGCAAGGGATAGTGGGGAAGGGATATACCCGATGCCCTTCAGGAAGGTCCGACGGCGCCCTCAAGCGTCATTGCATCGGTGTCGACCGGCCGACAGGGATTTCTCCCGATCCACAACCACCACCACCACTCCAGACACTTCGTAGTGCACCACCCACGCATTCGCCCACCAGCATGTGTCACCACGGTTACCGGACCATCCTCACCGTCTCTTTGGAGCTACGGACACGAGGCCTGAAGAGGGAAAGGAGACAACGGCCACGAGAGAGGGCACTACTCGACCAGTGGGAGGGAACAGCCTCCATCGCAAGAGCGAAGCCGACCAGACGCGGCAACGAGGACTTGCCGGGCCCTACAGCCTGGCCGAGCCCACGTGGGCCCGGACAGTCCCTGTCACCGCGCTGCAACACGCCGACCATCGAAGTACTCGCCGCCCGTAGACCGCCGCCACCTCACCACTGCCACCAGGAAGCGACGCCGCCAAGCGCCGTGCCACCGGCCCGACCCAACCCAGACGAGGCCCAAACCGGCCCAGATCTGGGCTCGGTAGGTGCCGCCGGCCAACAGCGCCGCCGTGCCACCCCATGACAACGGCCGCACCGCCGCGTTGAGGGCCACCGTGGCATGCAGCGTCGCCGCCGCCTTGCCACACCGTCGCCGGCCACCACCGCCCGAGCAGGAGGGACAACGCGCGGGGAAGGACAGGCCCCGCAGGTACAGCCGGAGGACGAGGAGGCGGAGACGGAGTACCAGGCCGCCTTGGAGGAGGCCATGCGGCAGGCGCTGGAGGCTAGCCGCCTCGAGGAGGACGCGCGCTGCGATGGGCTGGAGCAAGCCCTCACCCTGTCCGCGGCGGGGGACTCCGTCCACTCCCCGCTGTTCGTGCCGCCACCGCCACCGTTGCCGCCCATCCAGCCCAAGCCGGAGCCAGAGCCGACGTGGAAGCGGTCCCCGCCTCCACCCACTTTGCCGTAGGAGGCCTACTCGTGGACGGGCCAGTACCGCGAGTGGGTGAGCGCGCCCCCCGTCCACTTCGACGCGACGCCGGAGCAGGAGGCCGCCCACCTCGAGCGCTGGAAGGCGCACTGGCTCAGCCAGGAGCAGGCCGACGGCGAGCAGCAGATTCGCTACGAGGCCATGCTCCAGCACGATGCGGAGGCGCTCTGGCTCAAGGAGGAGGAGGAGGAGCGCGCGCGGCTAGCCGCAATGCCGCCGCCCCAGCAGACGCCGGAGAAGGCTGCCCTGGCAGCGTACCAGGCGGCATTCGGGTGGGCAGGCCCTGGTCCCGTCTTCATCGACCTCACTGGTGATGGCGACGGCGGCGTCGACGCCAAGGGCAAGGGCAAGGCCAACGACATCTATGGCAGCAGAAGGCGGGCGCAGACTTTTTTTAATGTTTTAATTAATGTTTAGTTATGTTTAAGTGGACTTTGGCCGGCGTTTGACGAGCCACTTATGTTTAATTATGTTTATTTTAAGTTTATTTCGTGCGACCATTTTTTTTGCATGGCGGCACATTTGGGTCTGCCCCCCGTTGGGCGGCCAAGCCGACCCATTTCAGAATGCGGACGCGCATGTCCGCCTGGCCGACCCAAACGGACGAAAAGTGGACAAAAGCGGTGTCCGCTTGGGTCGGCCCGTTGGAGTTGCTCTCAAATCATCAACTTGGCAATGTAAGGGGGTGTTTGTTTCCTGGGACTAGAAAAAGCCTTTTTAGAGACTTTTTAACCAAACAGGAGGGACTACTAGGGACTAAAAGTTGCTTTTTGGGATTAAATGAAGAAGACTCTCAAGAAGAGTCTTCTTTGAGACTTTTCCAACCATGCTCCTCCCTGCACCTATTGCCCCGCCGTCCCATGGTGTTGTTTGGTTGTTATTTCTCTGTATATTAAGGATAACATGGTCATTTAATAACATCCAAAAAGGGACTATGAATTTTTTAGTCCTTGAAAACAAACCGGAAGGTACTTTTTTGGGATTAGGAACTTTTTTAGTTAAGACTAGAATTACGAAGCAAACACGGTCTAAGGGCATGTACAATGGGGGCAGCACCATGCTGCTGCCCCGCCGGTGCACGTAAGCAAATGGAGTTGAAACCATCGCTTCAATCAAGCACCACCCAACGCAAAACTGCCTCCTATGATTTATATTGGCCCCACTTAGTTAATTTTCTATCCAACTTTCCACCGTCATCATCCTTCACCTTGCTTTTTATGTGTGTGGGCAGTGTGGTCCTCCTGCACTTTGTCAGGCAAGAGGCGGACTCCTCTGCAGGAAGTGGTTTGCCTCTGCAAACATTACCTTTAGCTGAGTTGGACTCTGTGAACCTACGTGGTATGCTGGGGCACCGGTCCAGCGTGGCCCGTTGGCCATGCTCTAAGAGCCCCTGACCCGACGGCAACGATCCCGGCGGAGCCGAAACCTGGCGCGCTTGCGTAGTATCGTCGTGACGCGGACAAGTTGAGTTCAACGACTGTACTGATGGGTCAAAATCAGCCACTTGCAGCAGTACCCTTTTTCTTTCCTCAAGTTTTTCCTTTTTTGAACCGCTTCTTTCGCGAAGTTGCATGGCAATCCCGGAGCTGTTGTTTGTCGATTGTGCAGCCAGCTCGTGCCTCAATCTCTTCCGCTTTCTGCCAGAGACAACCATGCTGGGCGGCTACCTCCTCGCGGTCGTGCTGCTGCCGCTGGCCGCGGCCCAGGGGACGCAGTGGCAGTCCACCACATGCGCCAGCGGCGCCTACGCGGCCAACAGCACCTATCAGACCAATCTGGGCCTGCTCGCCGCGGCGCTACCGGCCAACGTCTCGGCATCGCCGGCCGGCTTCGCCACGGCCACCGTGGGCGTGGTGCCGGACCTCATCTCCGCGCTGGCTCTCTGCCGTGGCGACGCCAACGCCTCGTCCTGCCGCGCCTGCGTCGCGGCGGGCTTCCCGGGCGCGCAGCGCGGCTGCCCCAACAGCAAGGACGTCGCCATCTACCAGGACGACTGCGTCCTCCGCTTCTCCGACCAGCGCTTCCTGGACTTCATAGGCGTGGAATCCCCCGCCGGCACCTACTCCTCGGACGAGGAGAACCTCACAGCCCCTGCGGCCTGGTTCAACGCCGCCGCCCTCGCGCTCCTCAACGCGACGGTCGACCAGGCCGTGGCCGCGCGCGGCGACCCCGCCAAGAAGTACTTCGCCACGGGCGAGGGGAGCTTCGACGCGACGTACTACCCGAAGATTTACGGGCTGGCGCAGTGCGTGCCGGAGATGACGGCCGCCCAGTGCCGAGGCTGCCTCGGCGGCTTCATCGGAGCCGCGCCGTGGTTCTTGTTCCAGAACGGGAAGTCTGGCGGCCGAGCTCTTGGGGTTTGGTGCAACCTGAGGTACGGCGTGAACCCGTTCTACACGGGCGGCGCCATGGTGAAGCTCTCGGCGCCGCCGGCACCAGCACCCGCAGCCGTGCCTTCGATTGCTACCGCAGAGACGCCAGCAGGTCGGGTCTGGTTCTCGGTTTCCCCATCTGGCGCAAATTCCACATCATTCCACGTACGTACTACTTGAAAACTCCGTTTGATGTTGTATCCATTGTTTGATTTCAATGCAGGGAGGAAAGGGAGAGTGGCAGGGATCTCTACAGGCGCCGCTTGTTTCGCCGTCCTGATGTTGATTCTTGCAGTCTTTGCTTTTATTCGCTTCAAGAGAAGAAAGGCCAAGAAGCATGATGACTGTGAGTAACTGGTCAACTGCTTGCTCAAAGCACTGGATATTATTGGCACTACAAACTGTAGTGGCGTCTCTTATGTGTGTGTGGAACAGCATTTAACAAAATGGCGAGGGGGAAGTGCACTATCTACGATTTTCCGACGCTGCAAGAGGCAACCGGAAACTTCTCAGAGAAGCATAAGCTTGGAGAAGGCGGTTTCGGAACTGTATACAAGGTAAATAGACAAGCTTGGAGAATGCAGGGTGAAACTATTTGGCGCACTCTGTCTGTTCTTCTACTGAAAAATAACCTCTGCTTCAGGGAAACCTCCCGGACGGGCAGGAAATAGCAGTGAAGAAACTTATAGATGGTGCTGGTGCTGGACATGGACTGGATCAGATCCGCAATGAAGTGCTGGTGTTGGCACAGCTCCAGCACAAGAACCTTGTTAGGCTACTGGGGTTTTGCTGGCATCAGAAGGAGATGCTACTTGTCTACGAATACATCAAGAACGGGAGCCTCGATAACTTCCTTTTTGGTATTTCCCTGCATCCTTTCCACTCACATCTCCATATACTAAAAACTCTTTCAATGTTCCTCTGAGTTATCAGTTTGTACTACGTGTTTCAGAATATTGTGAGATTTGAAACACGGAACTACTCCCTCCGTCCCATAATATAAGAGCGTTTTTTACACTACACTAGTGTAAAAAACGCTCTTATATTATGGGACGGAGGGAGTGGTACTCCCTCCGTCCGGAAATACTCGTCGGAGGAATGAATGTATCTAGATGTATTTTAGTTCTAATACATTCATTTTTAGGCATTTCTCCGACAAGTATTTCCGGACGGAGGGAGTACTATATTAGCTGGTACGTCAGGTCTCATGAAAAACTAGCCGTTGGTTGTGATACAAAATTGTCCACCAAAATATGCCGAGAACAGAGGAATTATTTTTTTTTAGAAAAGGAGGATGACCCCCGGCCTCTGCATCTGGGCGATGCATACGGCCACTTTATTAATTATTCTCACAAGACCTTACAAAGTAATACAACAGTAAGACTAAAGCCGCCATATAAGCAACTCTATCCAGTTGATGAAGAGGCGCAGATAGCCTGGGCCTAATACCAAACAGACATCGCAGCCAAACCTAATATCTAAGACCTGAGGTCCCATCCAGGACGCCTGCCGGGCATGGGTCTCACCGGTCTGGCGTGCACTCAGAGGCCGCCGCCGCCAACTGCCACCGCTCCATCTTCAGAACTATACTGATGCATCAACCTTGCTCGGTCCAGCTGTCGTCGACGCCACCACAACGTCCAACGGCACCTCCTCCCTACACGCAAACAACTCAGCATGTCGCGGTCGCCACTGATACACATCAGCACCATGCTGCCAAGTACCACCAGCCGACATAGCTTGAAGTCTTTGGAAGATCTGTCGTGCGTAGCACCTGCCGACCAGGCATGACAAAGCGTAGCACCTGTCGGTCAGGAATGACTTGACATCTCCACCGAAGCTCCGTGCAAGATGAAGCCGCTCCACCTCCAGCCTCTCTGAACGGGATGGGAGCACCCCAGGAAGACACGGCGAAGAGTTGGGCACCACAATCACCACGAGAGCCGGACCAGCCGACCGCCATGGCGAAGCGACACCACTAAAGATAGAACCGCCGCCATCAGGAACGCCAAGAACACGCTGCAGCTGTCCCACCTCCCCGCGGACCCAAAGCGGCGCCTTCAAGAAGGTGACGGAGCAGGGCACCGCCGCTGCCCAACCAAAGTTGTGAATTTTCACCCGGGTGCAGGGGGAGGACGAGGGGGAGGGAGCTGGATCTCGAAGCCGCCTTCAAGAAGGAAACAGCGCCTAGAGCGCCGCCGGCGTCGTGGCCGCCGCAGCCGGCCAAGAAATTACTCCGATTCAGAGCTCCCAACCCCACATCCACGCAGTCCGCCACCGGATCTGGCCGGACTAACGAGGAGGAAGCAGCAGCACGGGGGCGCCGTCTTCAGATCTGGCGAGGAGAGCAGCAGGGGATCCCTCCACGCGGCGCCCGCATCCACCGCCAACTCGCCGCCCGCGCGGCTGAGTAGACGCCGCCCTCAACTCCGGCGAGCGCCGCCCGCCGCCAGGACGCCGCTGCCCTCACTAGCAGAGGCCGCCGCCTCAAACCCTAGGCCCGAGCCCGAGCGGCGTCGCGGCCGAGGGCCTCGCCGCCACCCTCATCGGCGGCCGCGCGGGGGACCCGACGCCCGTCTCCGGCGGCGGCGAGGGAAGGAATCGGGAAGGGGAGGTCGGTGCCCCCGAGTCGCCCTCGAGAGGGCGACGCGAGGGAACGGGACGAGGGAATCGCTGTCGTATCTTTTAAAAATGGGAGAGAATTTCACTTTCCAGCCTCTGCACCAACTAGGGATGCATACGGCCATTTTAGTATGAGTACCAAGATAAACATGGTCCTCAGATATTTTTAAATGAGTATCAAGATATTTCTTGATGAGTGGTTTCACCACACACCAAACTTGATCCTCAATAAACGGGGGAAAACCCCCGTGCATCACCTGTCAATTCTAGGAATTGAACTCGGGTCGTTAGGCTGCACAACCGCATGCCCAACCACTGAGCCAAGGCTCTCTTTGCAGAACAGAGGAATCATGAAGTGAGTTGTTTGGAAATACCTTCTTTAATAGTCATTCATACTCACTGTAGCATTTCTGGAAAGGAAGTTGCTACAGGTCCATACCGTAGACAGTTAGACTAGTGCAAAGTACATTCTGTTAGTGTAAGAAATTACTGAAGTTTCCATTAGCAGCTCCTGATAAAAGTTGAACAATACGTTGCAGTAGATGCTAGTCGAAGAAACACACTAAGCTGGGATGAAGAGTACAACATCATTCTCGGAATTGCCAAGGGCATAATGTATCTTCACGAGGACTCGAGCGTAAGGATCATCCACCGAGACCTGAAAGCTAACAACATTCTGATTGATGATGCCATGGATCCGAAGATTGCGGACTTCGGGTTAGCTAGGCTGCAAGTCGGAGGCCATACTCAAACCATGACAGCTAGAGTTGTTGGAACATAGTAAGCAACTGCATACAAAAGGGCTTTCACATATTTGCAGATATCAAGATATGTGTTTCTAACTTTCTATGCCTAACTGATAATCATCTGCAGCGGGTATATGGCGCCAGAGTATGCAATACATGGAAACGTGTCGCCAAAGATCGATATTTTCAGCTTTGGTGTCTTGGTGCTTGAAATTGTAACCAAGAGGAGGAACTGTGGCTCCGATGATTGCGAGACGGACACGGTGAATCTCCTAAGTGATGTAAGTGGATCTGTATATCGCAGCAAGCCCGCAACCTTATTATCATGGATGAAACATATCTTTCGACTAGTTTCAAGTAGTAACAAACTGACGTCAATAGGTATGGACTTGTTGGACCAAAGGGACGATATTACAGATGATTGATGAATCACTTGAAGGACACCCCCGAATCCAGGCGCTAAGATGTATCCACATTGGGTTGCTGTGCGTCCAAGCAGACCCTGACGACAGGCCTGACATCCCATCCATCATCTTCATGTTGAACAGGGAGGACATGGAGCTTCAGCCACCGGCACAGCCTGCATTCTTCTTCGGGGAAGACTCAAACTCACCTTCTCCGCCATGCCAGCAGGGCATCTACGTGTACAACCGCTCTGAGGTGGTCTTTGAAAACACCTCTGTGAATGGGCTCACAATTACTGACGCATATCCTAGATAATTTCTTTTATATATTGTATCTTAGATAAGCGAAAGACAAACAAGAGCGGTTTGGAATATCATCAGGGTTTGGTTCTTGGATAAAAGATGCACTTTGAAACACCCAAACAACAAAATGAAGTATATTAAGCAACTAACTCGATGACCGATCGCACAGAAATGAAGCCAGGGAGATGCTAAGTTCTGGCATACAAAAGGTCTCACTACATTGGAATTAAAATCAGAGTCTGATTATGGTACATCAAATCTATATGGGCGTTAAATCGAGTGAACGCAACAGTCCAGATTCGTTTTACTGCACATGATTTTGTGTGGGCATTTTCATCATTGCACCGTTTCAAACCGCGTCCTTGTTCCCTCTCAAAAGTAGTCCAAGGGTAAAATGGGAACACAAAAGAAATCATTTTAGTCAAAATGTTCTCCTCTGCTAGTGTGTCGTCCTACACCGGGGGGAGCTAGGGTTTGAGCCCTCACTGGCAGGATCGAGCCCTGCATGTGTCCCCACCTTGCCAGTGGCACTTTGCCTTCTCTCTCCGGCCTACTCGAAGTATATGTTGGGCCCTAAATGGCCTCAATTCGCCATGGGCCTTTAACATGCCGAAAAGGCACACTGGACTGTATATGGACCCAATAACACCACTGGCCGCTAATAGACCACAAAAGCAGCTCGGTCCGAAAAATGGGCCCAAAACACGACAGACCGTCAACATGCTAAAAGACACATATATCGGGCCATAAAAGGGCCAAATAAAACCGCAAGCCATCAATAGGACAAAAGACACTTGGCCGCAAATGGGCCCAAAGAAAATACCTGACGCTAACAGGCCGAAAGACACATCAACCTGTAAATGGTCCAAAGTCAACACGGTTTGTCAATGGGCCGCAACTATCGACGGACCATAGTAATGCCGAATGTCCCATAGACTGTTGCCGGGATTAATTGACACAAGTCGTAGTGGGACTTAAGCATGCCTTTGACTGGGTCGGTCTTTTTAACTAGTTCATGCCACATATCGTCGCTTCATAGGCGCATGTCGGCATTGGACAGGCGATACTTGTTCGAATGAATAGTTGACACATGGCTCCGTTGATGATTAAGGGGCCGACACATGGAGGATTAACAATGGTCAACGTCATTAATGGGTATTGTCGGTGTCAAAATCGGCAGATCGCGGGTAGGGGGTCCCGAACTGTGTGTCTAAGGATCGAAGGTAAAAGGAGGCAGGGGACACGATATTTACCCATGTTCGGGCCCTCTTAATGGAGGTAATACCCTACTTCCTACTTGATTGACTTTGATGAGTATAGGGTTTACAAAAGTTGATCTACCTCGAGATCGTAATGGCTAAACCCTAGATGTCTAGCCTATATGACTGTGATTGCCTCTAAGGACTAACCCCTCCGGTTTATATAGGCACCGGAGGGGACTAGGGTTGCAAAGTTGAAGGAAATATGCCCTAGAGGCAATAATAAAGTTATTATTTATTTCCTTATTTCATGACAAATGTTTATTATTCATGCTAAAATTGTATTAACCGGAAACTTAGTACAAGTGTGAATACATAGACAAACATAATGTCACTAGTATGCCTCTACTTGACTAACTCGTTGAATCAAAGATGGTTAAGTTTCTTAGCCATAGACATGAGTTGTCATTTGATTAACGGGATCACATCATTGGAGAATGATGTGGTTGACTTGACTCATTCCGTTAGCTTAGCACTTGATCGTTTAGTATGTTGCTATTGCTTTCTTCATGACTTATACATGTTCCTATGACTATGAGATTATGCAACTCCCGAATACCTTTGGAACACTTTGTGTGCTACCAAACGTCACAATGTAACTGGGTGATTATAAAGGAGCTCTACAGGTGTCTCTGAAGGTACTTGTTGAGTTGGCGTATTTCGAGATTAGGATTTGTCACTACGATTGTCGGAGAGGTATCTCTGGGCCCTCTCGGTAATGCACATCACTATAAGCCTTGCAAGCAATGTGACTAATGAGTTAGTTGCGGGATGATGCATTACATAACGAGTAAAGAGACTTGCCGGTAACAAGATTGAACTAGGTATGGTCATACCGACGATCAAATCTCGGGCAAGTAACATACCGATGACAAAGGGAACAACGTATGTTGTTATGTGGTTCGACCGATAAAGATCTTCGTAGAATATGTAGGAGCCAATATGGGCATCCAGGTTCCGCTATTGGTTATTGACCAGAGAAGTGTCTCGGTCATGTCTACATAGTTCTCGAACCCGTAGGGTCCGCACGCTTAACGTTTGTTGACGATATAGTATTATATGAGTTATGTATGTGGTGGCCGAATGATGTTCGGAGTCCCGGATATGATCATGGACATGACGAGGAACTCCGGAATGGTCCGAAGATAAAGATTGATATATGTGATAATAGTGTTTGGTCTCCGGAAGGGTTCCAGAATTCACCGGAAGGGGTTCCGGATGTTTCCCAAAATGTTTGGGTACGAGAACACTTTATTTGGGCCAAAGGGGAAAGCCCGCAAGGTTTTTGGAAGGCGCAAAAGAAAGTTTTGCGGAGTCCAGGGGCCAGACGCGAGGGTCCCTGGCGTCTGGGTCCAGACGCCGGGAACCCTGGCGTCTGGCCCTGGAGTCCGGGAAGGACTCTTGCCTTTCGGGTGAAACCGACTTGTGGAGGCTTTTACTCCAAGTTTTGACCCCAAGGCTCAACATATAAATAGAGGGGCAGGGCTAGCACCAAAGAAACATCAAGAAACACCAAGCCATGTGCCGGCAACCCCGTCCCCTCTAGTTTATCCTCCGTCATAGTTTCCATAGTGCTTAGGCGAAGCCCTACGGAGATTGTTCTTTACCAACACCGTCATCACGCCGTTGTGCTGCCGGAACTCATCTACTACTTCGCCCGTCTTGCTGGATCAAGAAGGCGACGACGTCATCGAGCTGAACGTGTGCTGAACGCGGAGGTGCCGTACGTTCGGTACTTGATCGGGGTGGATCGTGAAGGTGTACGACTACATCAACCGCGTTGATAAACGCTTCCGCTTAGCGATCTTCAAGGGTATGAAGATACACTCCCCCTCTCATTGCTATGCATCACCATGATCTTGCGTGTGCGTAGGATTTTTTTTTGAAATTACTACGTTCCCCAACAAAAGTCGGTTTAGAGAGGAAGGAAACTATACATCCGGATGCCAAGTTTGCCATCCACGCCAAGGAGAGTCCCGTCCGGACATAGGAGAAGGGCTTCTATCTTGTATCTTCACGGCCCTTCAGTCCTGCCCATGTCACATAGGCCGGCTCCCCGAGGACCCCATAGTCTAGGACTCCCTCAGTAGCCCCTGAACCGGGCTTCAATGACGATGTATCCGGCACGCAGATTGTCTCGGCATTGCAAGGCAGGTTCCTTCTCCGAATACTCCAAAGCAGTCTTCCACATATGATAATAGTATTCGGCTCTGTTTAATAATTACATCCTTAAGCTGTAAGGCTAAAATTACTCGTAACAAAGAAAGACACGTCCATAGGCGATCTTTCCGGCGAGGCGTTATGTCCTGGCCTCATTAGTATTCTGAACCGTTTTATGGCCCCCACTTCATGTTTCGAGGCACGGTCATAGGCACGTCTTGTCAAAGCAAGGATCATGTCCCTTTATCACGGGATTCCTATTAATAAGGGTTTGGGTAATCCAACCGTGCCGTTCACATGTTCCCTTGGGAATATGCGAGATTTAAGGCTCCGGGGAGGGGGACGCTTGATACCCACTACCTTTATAAGAAGATAAAGGTCCGTCTTTTTACCGCATGCCTTCTTCCTCCTCTGCCCATCTGCCATTCGAGCTCCAGCACCCAAGTTCCAATCTCTTCCATTGCCACCCAGTACTCCAGGCATGTCGGATCTGGGGCACATAGGGCAAGTGGATGGCTTCCTCTGTTACAAAGGAGAACATCAAGGAGCTCTGGGAAGCTGGGTACCTGGCCGCGGATATAATCCACCGTCTCCCTGCTAAAAAGCAGATCATTCCCACTCCAAAGACTAATGAGAGGGTAGTGTTCATCCCCCATTTCCTTCGCGGGCTAGGGTTTCCCCTCCATCCTTTTGTCTGCGGTCTTATGTTTTACTATGAGTTAGATTTTCATGATCTAGCCCCAAATTCCTTCCTCAACCTTTCAGTGTTTATCGTCATGTGCGAGGGATTCCTCCGCGTCCCTCCCCACTTCGGCCTATGGCTCAAGATCTTCAATGTGAAGCCGAAGGTGGTCGAAGGCCAACACGCGCAGTGCGGCGGCGCCATGGTGAGCAAACTCCGCAACGTCACCTGGCTAAAGGGAACCTTCGTGGAGTCCGTCAAGGGATGTCAGTAGGGGTGGTTCTATATCACAGAACCCCGCGATACCACATGGGCCGCCGCTCCTGAGTTCAAATCCGGGCCCCCGATGTGGCTTACATCCTGTCTCAATAAGGGCCTAGATTGGGATTCGCCTGAGGAGGTGACGATGTTGGAGAGCCGTGTCAAGGGCATGATAAACAAGAACACCAGCCTTGCCAGCATGATCCAGGTGATGCTTTTTCGTCGGATTCTCCCTTGTCAACGCCGGACCCAACATATGTGGGAATTCGACCCGGCCAGTCCTCGGACCCTGCAGCGGTTCTTCGTCACGATGCACGAATACATATGGAAGCTACTTTTCAAGATTCAAAAGTTGTAGCCGGAAAAGATCGAAGACCGCGGCCTCGACTGCGCTCGTCCGGCTACTCCCGTAAGTCTTATGATGACTTTAATTTGCAAATCCAAAGAGTATATTGAACTTTCCATTACTCCCACAGGGCTGGACAAAGAAGGCGGAGCAAATCCAATGTCCAGCTTCGTTGCTCGAAGACCCAGTTATCCCTTTGTTGACGAAGATGCTGGTTCCGACGCCATATCAGGCGCCGGAGAAGAAGGCCAAGAAGAAAGGCAAGGAGGCCAGAGGCGACCTCCGTTGTAAGGGCACTTCGGACG